GTTATGACCAGGGAATAGTAAATAGTTCATTCTACCATCAGACAAGCCTAGACTTGAACCCTGGCTTTGGTGCAGTTACTTCTTATTTTGCCTTAATTCATTCCCTCATCTTTGTGAGTGTGAAGACAATAGCATTTGCTCCAGAGGACACTAAAAATTAATGGAGATAATCAAGTGAAATGATTAGACTAGCTCATAAGATCTTACTAGTCACATAATAGCTAAAAAAATCTATTGTTAGCATCTGCTCTTTTGATATTCAGTTTTGATATTCAGTTACCTGTTGACTTTTTATGTGTATACTTTAATTAACATTTATTTGTATTATTAGCCTATATAAAGTGTTTATTACAATAATTTATTTTCTTTAAGTTCCTACTATATTTGAATACATCTTTACCCAGAATTTTGTTTTGAAACAATTTCTAAATAGTATCTTACAGCTAAAATAGGAAACAGTCACATTAAGATCCTCCTTGAAGCTTACTCTCCTGTTTTCTACCTTCAAACATCACCACCACCTCAAACAGAAGATACACACGCACATGTGGTTAAAGTCAAGTCTCAGTAAGCAGACGAAAGATGAGAGAGGAGTTACGAAACCAAGAAGCCACCTAAGAAGGAGATTGCTTTCCCAAGTCTGTCATTACCTTTGTTAGAAACACCTGGTTTGTCTGTATGCCTCACGGAGGAGAAGAAAAATTATTTTCTCTCTGCCCTTTTGAATTCTTAGTTGGAGCTGAAAAGAGAAGAGCAATGCAGAGAAGAAAGGGAAGGAGAGAGTATCAAAAGCCAAACAAGTCCGTTGACCTGCTAATGGTGTTTGGCATACGTCTCCCAGAAATCCTTAGTTCAGAAAGGTGAACTAGAGCTCTAGTTTACACAGCATGTTAAACAGAGAACAACATGTTTTTAGAAAAGTGGCAAACCAAGGAAAAGGATCATGCTTCAGAAAAATCAGCTGTGACATTTGAGTTCAATGCAAGGCTAATGAACATAGAACATGACCTGGTCCAGTTGGTCTGGCCGCTGGCACCAGTGGCTTTGAAAAGCTTCCACATGTCCTGCAAGCTACTTCAGCCCATCCAACTCAAGCTGCTTTTTCCACTTTCATCTTACACCACCGTCTTACATTTTCATCATAATAAAATTCAACCATTACAGCTGAATAATAGCTACCTGTTAAAATTGATCCATTGTGCAAATTTTCTAAATTGTTACATTGGGCCGGGTTCCCAAGGTGAATTCTCTCCTATCTCTCCTCCATTGAAAAAAAAAAGTCAGGAGCACTTTGACCATGAGTGTTAAACAGCAGGTATGGTGTCTTCATTGAGGCATAGGAACAATGCAATTAATGCAAGGAATTGGTATAAATACCTCTAGTAGCAATGCAAACACTCCTACTCTGGTTTATTAGAACACAGATTTCTCAGAAGTTGACTCATTATTTCTAACCATAAAGATCCAAAGGACATTTAAAGAGGGAACAATGGAATAAACTAGTTTAGCACTGCGGTTTGATTTGAACATAATGTTATTTGGATCAGAGTTCTGTGACTGTCCTGCTCGGTCAAGCCCAACTCTGACTGAGACTTAGCGTCACAGCTTCGCCCAAGCGTGCTCAAGTCTTCCTGAGCCCTGTCCTTGCTCTACTCAGGGCTCACCTGAGAGCCCGTGTTAAAGACCGAGGGACGATGCACGTCTTGATTTCTCACCGTGTGCAATATTCTCTTCCTCGTAGGTCTGTTCTTGGCCTTGGCATTTTGCATGCTGTCCTTGCTTTACAGGGCTAGCCGCCCGCATCCCCGCGGAGCCCAAGCAGCTGGGGAGGTCCTCGCTCACCTCGCCAAGTGCGCGGAGTCCCCGAGCGGCGGGAGCTGCCCAAGCCTGGCAGAAAGCGTTTGCGGGGGACTGACCGGGAAGACAAGACGGGCGCAGGGTCCTAAAGACCGCCTGTTCTTTGCAATCTAGCAAGAAAGAATCGCGAGTGGGACGCACATAGTAGTAGGCGGAATTTATTTGGGAAAACAAAAATAAGAAAAATACGTGTACTGGATCTCCTCCTCCGAAGAAGGCGTACGTTCCACAGAACCGGGAATTTTTAAGGAGTTTGAAACAGGCTGAATTTGGAAAGCCTTCCAGTTCTTAAATCCGGAAACGCAGATGTCAGACCCCGGAAGCCTCGGTCCCTTTAAAGGTAATAAGGAAGGTTCCCGGGACTGAGAAGAGGCCAAGCCAATGAGGCCCTGCGTCTTTGAGCCCCGGAATCTTTGGTCGACGTAAAGCTCATGAATTTCTTCTGCAGATAACAGATTTTTGCTGAGAATGTAGCATAGCCTATTTACTTAAGCCAGGACAAGGCCGCAGGTAAACTGCCCTTTAAAAGAAAGCATGTGGGGGATCAGCACAGTAATTCAGACTCAAGAATTATGTCAACATCCTGCTCCCATTGCTCACTTCTATTATCTATCACTTCTACTCAAGAAGCTTGTGAGTTTAGGATTTCATGTATGAGGAGCTTCTAAATGTGAGGCTCCAGAAATGTGGCCCATTCCCATTTTCCTTCCTCATTGTCCCCTGAGCTGCCTCAGTGTTCCAGAACAACTCAGTCCTTGTGCCTGAGATCAGCCCCCCGGTGCCATGAGATTAAAGAGTCAGAAGAGTAAGAACAGGAGAGTTAGACAGATCCAGGACTGTGTCGAAAGCCGGCTGGCTGCAAAATAACCGGGGGGTGAGAAACAACTTGTGTACGTTGATACAGTGGGAGTGGGAGCCGTTTATTGTAGGACAGGAACTAGAGTGCAACTTTTTGAGGAGTTATTGACAGAAGCATGGTTCTGGACAGCAGCAAGGATCCCTGCAGTTTAGGTCTGAAGGAGAGTATTTAGGTGAATTAAGACAAAAGCAACTTCATTCTGGCTGGACTGCAACTGGCAAGTCTCGAGTTAATATGGAAGAGTTGTGTACATTCCTTGGGCAGGGTCACGTTGTAAGGTTCCACACACCACTGCAAAGCTTTGGTTTACTTATAGTTTTCTGGAAAACTATGCAGGAAAAACTGACTGGCATTCCTCTGGGGCAGTCGACTCAAGGCGGCTGCAGGATGGTGAGCTGAATTCACAAACTGAAGCTTCCCTTTAGTCTCACTTCAAGCTTCATTAAGTTTAGTCCTCAGATAACTTGCTGACCCTCTATCTTTTCAGCTATAAAGTGGGATTAATAGCAGAGCCTATTTAAGACTGTTGAGACAATGAAGTGAATTAAAACAAAATAATTTGAGTATAACTTACAGTTAACAAGCCATCAATAAATGTTAAATAGGTCAATAGGTTCATTATTATCCCTAGAAAATACTAGTTGGCTACACAAATTGCTCTATCAACCAAGGGATGTACATCAGCCAGAAGATGCATACTCTAGAAGCCTGAGGTCTGAGGAGCCTAACTTGTAGTACTCACTGCATTCAGGCACTTTGTTGATAGGCTGAAACATGAGTGTCTTCTCTGAGGGTCAAAAGCAGTCAAATGTTGTGTGTGGCTCAATTTAATATTCTACTCACTGCCATATTGATAGGATTTCTAACAATGCCTGGCTCATAGTGGATGAGTAATAAATATTTCTAGTAGGAATGAACACAGTAAATTGTCTTTTCCCCCAATCCTCCTTCTGCAAGCTTTTTCTTGACTATGTTTTGTGATAAGGAAGGTTCCAGGGACTAAGAGGCCAAACTTGCCGCAGTCCTGGTGAAATTCTGCATTTCAACAAAGATGAAATCTACATGCCATTCAGGTTTGTCCCCAACTGCCTTATTTCTAATCTTGCTGCTGAACAGAACCCCTCAGGATCTTAAAGGCCTCTCTGGCAGATCCTGCCACATTTATCCCCAACCACTCCTGACACCAGCAACTAACTCTAAAGGATTCCTCCATTCTACTCTGCTCAGATCCCTGCCTTGAGCAGCTCCTCCTCCGGACTGCACGGGTTCTTATCACTTGAAGCAGGGTCTACTTTGCTTCTTGCCCAGTTTAGAGCCTACATTCCCATTTTTTCCAAGATTCCATTTGGACTTCCCCATTGCAGGAACTTTGCTTGGTACAAATTAGGCACTTAAAACCAGTTTGCATAGCAAATACATACGAGTAAAGGATGGTTAGATGGTCTCTTTATAGAGAAGTGCGAGATATAAGAATCAGCAGCAGATACAAAGAGACAATTCCAACAGGATTAGAAAACATTTCTACCTAAAAAAAAAAAAAAAAAAAAAAACCACACACACAGCGAATTGGCTCTTTTTGAGAAAACGTGGGTGGCTCTGAAAAGAGCCTTTGGGTTAGTCAACGCAGCCTCAGGACCATTTACTTGGAGCTGGTGTACTTGGTGACCGCCTTGGTGCCCTCGGACACGGCGTGCTTGGCCAGCTCCCCGGGCAGCAGCAGGCGCACGGCCGTCTGGATCTCCCGGGACGTGATGGTCGAGCGCTTGTTGTAGTGCGCCAGGCGCGAGGCCTCGCCCGCGATGCGCTCGAAGATGTCGTTCACGAACGAGTTCATGATGCCCATGGCCTTGGACGAGATGCCGGTGTCGGGGTGCACCTGCTTGAGCACCTTGTACACGTAGACGGAGTAGCTCTCCTTGCGGCTGCGCTTGCGCTTCTTGCCGTCCTTCTTCTGCGCCTTGGTCACCGCCTTCTTGGAGCCCTTCTTCGGGGCAGGAGCGGACTTGGCTGGCTCAGGCATGGCGAGAACCAACTGGCGAAAGTGAGGAGTTCACAACCGGCGCCTCTTTAAGTATAGAACGTTATGTAAATGAGGAGTAGTAGAGGTCTGTGGTGATTGGTGGTTAACTTGGCCTGACGTCAGGTGACAGTTTTGTCCAATCAAAGTCCGCGTCTCGCAAAAGTGCGTTCCATTGGTCAGAATGAAAATGAAACCCAACCAATCGTACAGCTTCGTTTTCGCGCCCAGAGGAGACTATAAACACTGCGTCCTCCCACTTGCCTTTCAGCTTTAGAGGCTCCCGGCGGTTCGTCTGTGAGTATGTCTGGACGCGGCAAGCAGGGTGGCAAGGCTCGCGCCAAGGCCAAGACGCGCTCCTCCCGCGCCGGCCTGCAGTTCCCGGTAGGGCGAGTCCACCGCCTTCTGCGCAAGGGCAACTATGCCGAGCGGGTCGGGGCCGGCGCGCCCGTCTACCTGGCGGCGGTGCTCGAGTACCTGACGGCCGAGATCCTGGAGCTGGCTGGCAACGCGGCCCGCGACAACAAGAAGACGCGCATCATCCCGCGCCACCTGCAGCTGGCCATCCGCAACGACGAGGAGCTCAACAAGCTGCTGGGCAAAGTCACCATCGCGCAGGGCGGTGTCTTGCCCAACATCCAGGCGGTGCTGTTGCCCAAGAAGACCTAGACCCACCACAAAACTAAGTGAGCTCCAGATTTGCAAGTGCTTAAAAAGGCTCTTTTCAGAGCCACTTACACAAGTCATGAAAAGGGTGACACTAAGTAAGCGTTAACGTCTCTTAGATGTCGTTAATACTGTGTTTTTGAGCGGTAAGACGTCCAGTGTGCGCAACCCCTTTCCTTACCATAATTTTCAGCTGGGAGCTATGAGGGACATGGGTATTTGTTGACTTGTGCTCTACGGTGTGAAGTTCTTCACAAGAACATTTAATTGGAAATAAACCCATTCTTTCAGTAGGTGATCTTTTATGCACCAGAAGGATGGTTACCCCTGATGCTTAGGAAATGTTTAGAGACGCAAGCAAAAAGCTGCAGTTGATTAATCAGATAGTCTTTAGATTTATTATTTTTGGTACTGGGAATTGAGCCCAGGGGCACTTGGCCACTGACATCCCCATCCCTTTTTGAGACTGCATGTCTTTAAGTTGACTGGCCTTGAGTTTGTCCTCCTGCCTCAACCTCTAACTTAAGTTTCCTTTAATGTAATAGTACTCAGGCATAAGTTATTTTAGCCAATCTTTTTTACCCTCAACTATTGAAGTTGCAAGAATTTAAAACTAATAGTCCCGTGTAGGTGTGTTTCACATGTAGGTTTTGTTTTACAAAATACCTTTAAAGTTGTGTAAGAAGCATACTGATATTTTCCAGTTCTATTCTGTATATTTCTAGTTTACCTTTTTGTACCTGTGTATTCTCATAGACCCCTCACAAACATTGTTATGGTTAAATGAGTTAAATACCTTCTCAGTACACTAAGCAGACTAAATAGCTGGCCAGGTATAGAAGCCCAAACTCTGTTGTAATAATAATTATGCTACTGAATGCTGTTATTCCAGGAGCGCTAATGGGTGGATATCCTAAGTTGGAAAAAAATTAAAATATATGTAATATATATATATATACATATATATTTATATATCCCTATACATAACATCCACCTATGTGTATATCCATATATCCCACCAAAAGCCAATGGCCATTTTAAGAGTAATGAGGTCAAAGATTCTCATTGTTTTCCATATGTCTATACAGGCATAGTGAGTTTCTTTTATTCTGGAGCCTTAAAAATTATTCGAACATTTATGCCATTTACCAGTTTTTCCATCTTGGAAAATTCAGATGTAAGGACTACTTTTCTTTTTATTAAATTCTAGTTTGGCTATTCTTTTTAAAAAGTTGTTTCTGTCCTAAAGAGACAATTTTACTGAGAAGAAGCAGAACAAATAATGAAGATATTATAGCTAAAATAACCAAAGCATAGGTAATTAGGAGAACAGAGGAATAGTATCTGTGGAAGGTAATGTGTGATATGAGGGAAAGGGAAATTGGAAATTAGAGGAAATTATGGGGGATCCAGCAGCAAATGCCCATCACCAAAGACTTGGCTTTGCTGAAGAAACCTAATACGATTTTCAATATTGACAGTATGACAAAGGTTATAAGAGACCGGCCAATAGGAATTTTGTAGGTCACTCCTTTAGTTTTAAATACTTTTTATATAATAATGACTTCCAAATCTTTTTGTCCATCCCAAAATTTTTTCCTGAATTCATACATGCATATTCATCTACTTTCTAGATTTCTCAGCCAAGAAAGTCATAAGACATACATACCCCAGATTGACCCTGTTTTAGTGAATAGCATTGCTATCTACCTCTTAGCATGAACAAAAATAATCTGGCATTATTGATTATTCATTTTTGTGTGCCATTACTATAGCAAAAATGAATTCCTATATGGGAAGTTGAAAGCATGCATGCTCAAAGTTCAGAAAATATTACCAGACTACTGTAGTTTACCACAGAGTGTTTTCAGAGAATATCCATGTACTTATAACTGCAACTAATCACTGTCCCCTGAACAAGTGCTTCATATAATCAGAATCTAAGCGTTAATTGTGAGAAGTATATTGGCTGCAGATTCCCAGAAGGTGCCCAATCTATCCAGCAAGAGTAAAATTTGATGTAAACCTGGAAAAAAAAAATTATGTGGGGTCTTCCTGAATTATTAATGTTATAATAACTGTTAGTTTCTCGACCAGGAACGAAGGAATGCACTGCTTACAACACTCAAGAATACCGTCTGTTTAGCAATTAGCCTTAGCTTGGATCAGCAGACACTTAACCTGCAGTATTCACCAGAGGCTCTGTGATCCCATTCTTCCTTCCTAAACAATGTTTTCCTCCCCAGAAGAAAGTTAATTCCCAATTGTTATCTAAAGCTCAGTCCTTGATGCCAATCCAATAACGAGGATATTATTTTGAGAAAAAGGGAAAAGTTTTATTGCTTTGCTAGCAAAAAAAGTATTCCTGTCCGAGTCTGATTGTCTAATTTCTAAAAGGATTGAGATTGTAATTCTGATTACTGGATAACAGACATTAATAAGGTTGATTCAAAATTGATTTTTTCCCCCAGACATTTTGCAAACTGAAAAGTTCAGGACAGAAATGGGCCAATCTACTAGGTCTTACTTAGATGCTTATAAAATCACATGTTGGAGAACCTAAATAATATGGAACTAACGAGTACACGTATAATAGGACATACTTCAAGCTTTAGAGTGAGATTCTAAGAAGTCCAGAATTGGGACTAGGAAGCACAAGCAACAGTTCTTTTAAGCGCGCGTGTGGGTGGCTCTGAAAAGAGCCTTTGGGAAGGTGGCTAGGGAGTCTTGAGCTCACGCCCTTTCTCCCCGGATGCGGCGGGCCAGCTGGATGTCCTTGGGCATGATGGTGACGCGCTTGGCGTGGATGGCGCACAGGTTGGTGTCCTCGAACAGACCCACCAGGTAGGCCTCGCTGGCCTCCTGCAGCGCCATGACGGCCGAGCTCTGGAAGCGCAGGTCGGTCTTGAAGTCCTGCGCGATCTCGCGCACCAGGCGCTGGAAGGGCAGCTTGCGGATCAGCAGCTCGGTGGACTTCTGGTAGCGGCGGATCTCGCGCAGCGCCACGGTGCCAGGCCGGTAGCGGTGAGGCTTCTTGACGCCGCCTGTGGCCGGAGCGCTCTTGCGGGCGGCCTTGGTGGCCAGCTGCTTCCGCGGCGCCTTGCCGCCGGTGGACTTGCGCGCCGTCTGCTTAGTGCGGGCCATAGCTCCAGACCAGGGTTCGCGTAAAGAAAGAGAGAGCCGGCCGCTTACTTATAGTCGGAGTCTGAAGCTGATTGGACAAAAATAAGCCAGGCCCCCAACGATGATCAGATTGGTCAAGGACTTGAGACGTTCCCTATTGTACCTCAAATACTTTGATATTCTTAGTTTATATGACCTGTTCCCCACCCCCCCATTTTTCCTGTTTGCTTTATACCAGCTATTTCTAGTGGAAATAAATGAGAGTGATGTACTTTAACATTTCTAGAGCCAAATTACAGCAAAATAAAACGATGAGAAATGTGTTTCAATATTTTTCTTAACCCAATATGTCCACAATATTTCAATATAGTATTAGCATAAAAACTACCATACATTTTTTGGCACGCTAGATTTCGAAGGACTAGTGCCAAAAAGTACAATATTTAGTACAGCAGTTCTTACTTCGGACTTCCAACTTCGAATTTGCCAGTGATCACGCGTTTGGCTACGATGTTAATCACTTAAACTCTACCGGTGACCTCAATGTTCAAGCCTTCACTTTAAAAATTTTAATTTTATTTTGCACCAAGAAAATCTGACTTGTATGTGAAAAATTTAAACTAATAATCTGAAAACATCCTTGCACGAGATAGTTTTCAGTTTTAGATAACGCAGCACAATTCTATTTTTAAAGTGATTCCCTTACATTCATAAATCGTTTACCCATTTACACAAAATAAAGAAACCGAATCAAAGTCATCTTTAAAGTAGAATCTAGCATGTGAAAAAGGCCATCATCTCGTAGCATTCACAACTGCTTTAACAAAAAAACAGTAAGGACAGTGAGACACACAAGCCAGTAATTGTTCAAGTACCATTAATTAAATTGCACCCTTGGCTCAGGAATGTAAAAAACCCTACGTGCTGAGGACTTATGTGCGAAAACTTAGGATATACCTAAAACCATTACATTTAGCACTGAAAATACCTTCACCTGATCCTCTTTCGGGAGGACTAACAAGGGGGGGGGGGTGAGAGTGGTGAAAAAAACGGTCATAGTCATGACACTTGAGTTCGAGACATTTGAAAGTGTAGATCTTTTAGAAAACTACGATTTGAGGCTGTTTGAGCCTGAAAAGATGTAAGCCCAGCGTTCAGTTCTTCTACGGAAAATTGTAGGTGGCTCTGAAAAGAGCCTTTGGTTTTAGGAAGATTAGGTTATAGGGACTTCACTTTCCCTTGGCCTTGTGGTGGCTCTCCGTCTTCTTAGGCAGCAGCACCGCCTGGATGTTGGGCAAGACACCGCCCTGCGCGATGGTGACTTTGCCCAGCAGCTTGTTGAGCTCCTCGTCGTTGCGGATGGCCAGCTGCAGGTGGCGCGGGATGATGCGCGTCTTCTTGTTGTCGCGGGCCGCGTTGCCAGCCAGCTCCAGGATCTCGGCCGTCAGGTACTCGAGCACCGCCGCCAGGTAGACGGGCGCGCCGGCCCCGACCCGCTCGGCATAGTTGCCCTTGCGCAGAAGGCGGTGGACTCGCCCTACCGGGAACTGCAGGCCGGCGCGGGAAGAGCGCGTCTTGGCCTTGGCGCGAGCCTTGCCACCCTGCTTGCCGCGTCCAGACATACTCACAGACGAACCGCCGGGAGCCTCTAAAGCTGAAAGGCGAGTGGGAGGACGCAGTGTTTATAGTCTCCTCTGGGCGCGAAAACGAAGCTGTACGATTGGTTGGGTTTCATTTTCATTCTGACCAATGGAACGCACTTTTGCGAGACGCGGACTTTGATTGGACAAAACTGTCACCTGACGTCAGGCCAAGTTAACCACCAATCACCACAGACCTCTACTACTCCTCATTTACATAACGTTCTATACTTAAAGAGGCGCCGGTTGTGAACTCCTCACTTTCGCCAGTTGGTTCTCGCCATGCCTGAGCCAGCCAAGTCCGCTCCTGCCCCGAAGAAGGGCTCCAAGAAGGCGGTGACCAAGGCGCAGAAGAAGGACGGCAAGAAGCGCAAGCGCAGCCGCAAGGAGAGCTACTCGGTGTACGTGTACAAGGTGCTCAAGCAGGTGCACCCCGACACCGGCATCTCGTCCAAGGCCATGGGCATCATGAACTCGTTCGTGAACGACATCTTCGAGCGCATCGCGGGCGAGGCCTCGCGCCTGGCGCACTACAACAAGCGCTCGACCATCACGTCCCGGGAGATCCAGACGGCCGTGCGCCTGCTGCTGCCCGGGGAGCTGGCCAAGCACGCCGTGTCCGAGGGCACCAAGGCGGTCACCAAGTACACCAGCTCCAAGTAAATGGTCCTGAGGCCGCGTTCACTAAACCCAAAGGCTCTTTTCAGAGCCACCCACGTTTTTCCTAAGAAGTGCTGGGATACTTATTGATGTCATTTTCCTGGCTTTTGCGGTTTTACGAGATGAAAAGACAAATTAATGGTGAGTTGCAACTAAGAAGTCACCAGATGTTGTTAGCGGATGAAGCCATGGAGTGTTAGGTCGTGGCGTTTGAGCTTGTACACCACCCCCGTGGCCGTGATCTCGGCGTGCTCCTTATAAACCCGAGAATACGCTACTGGGGTAGGCCAGGCAGCTGTTGGCGAGTTTGATGCCTGAATGTTGTCACGTGTCACCTTGTGGTGGCGCTTCCCTCCGTCCCCCCTACTCCCCGCCCTTGGCTAAACATACATATTTTGGCAACAAACGTTTAGAAAACCAAAATCCGGTAAGCGTGTTGCCATTGACTTTCCTTGACTTTCAAGGCTTCGGACCAAATTGAAAACTGGAGGAACAGCCTTGCAAACCTCACAGTTGTAATTTCGTCTGCTGGAGGAGGAGACTATCAGCGCCGCCCGCTGGCAGGCATCCAAGCAATCTTACGTGACCGAAAGGCTGGCTCTATGCTGAAGCCTTGAGCATCCTCTAGTCTCCGAAATAAGGTTATTTTAGGCAAGGAATTGCTCGGTGAAGATAGCTCTCTGCTTGCGGAAGTGGGAACGTAGTGTAAGAAAGTTCACAGCCTAGGTTGGATAGGATGAAAGACCTGCCTTCTGGCGCCAGCGGCAGCACTTGCCATGTGTCACCACGAATAAATTTAAGGACTCAGTTATCTGTTTATCTGTAGAATTAATGTATTATTACTAAGCACAGTGTGTACAGTTTGGCATGTTACAGTGTTGGATTTGTGTTAACTTATTACAACAGCACCATAATGAAGTAAGTACTGCCATCTTTGGTTTCTCAAATGTCCAAGGTCATACAAGCCCAAAGCGGTGTGAATAGAACTTAAGCAGCCGAACTCTGGAGGTGTACTGCTTGTCTTAGGTCATAACCCTGCAAATAAGCACTAAAAGAAGCCTTTGCTTTTAACTGTCACTCTTGCCTTACAACTGTTTGTTTATTCAATTTTTTTGGATATTAACATGTTCAGGTACTGTGCTTGACCCTTAATCCACCTAGGCCAGTTCTTACCTCTGTTTTGAAGCAGGTTAAGCAGTTTCTTGTAGATGTCTTTCCTCTGTAAAATGTGAATAACCTGGAGACTTCAATGACAATTTTAAAAGAGGATTCATCATCTAATAGTCACTCGGTATTTCTTTTTCTTTTTTTCTCTTGACCTTTGCATATATCAGAATCATGTATGTGAAGACAATATTACAATAATAAAGCATTTTCCTACAGGAAAACCAGTAAATCAACAATCTCTGGCCAAATTTTTATTAATGAACTGCCATCCTGTTGCATTACGGTATTAACAGAACTTAGGAGATGCTTTTTAATCACCCTTTCCTGGTTCTAAGAGAAATTTCTGCAATTGACCAGCCCAAAATGATCAGTAAAAGTTAGCATCTTGACTCTTCTTAATGGCTTCACTAGCAAACCAGATACTAAAGTATATTTTTAAATGTTTTTCTTGGTACTATTAGGTAGAAATTAGACAAGAGCAGGGGATCAGCCCTTTAGGAATACTTGGTACAGAGCACATGAGTTAATCAACAGCCCTACCTCATTGGCACTCAGCGATGTAGCCGACAGGACAGCTACTTCAGGACCCTTAAATGGTCTCAGCCTTACAAACTACTCCTTTAGAATAGAAGGAAGATAGGTAAATTCAGGAGAGGACAAGGATGTATTTGCTCAGAAGGGCCTGATTGATAAGATGTCTTAAACAAGACACCACACAAATAACCCGGACCAGAGATCCCCAGACTTGGGGAAGCAGGATGATTGAGACCAGAGCCTACCACCATAAACTATGTAAAACCAGTTCCAATTAGGACCTGTCAGCCAGGCCAAGATGACCCAGAGCTGCCTCAGGTTCTTAAGCTAATGTGTTTGTGAATCCAGAGCCCATAAGTGATATGAGGGCAGCACCTTCTCACAATCTCCCTCCTTGCCAAATAAAAGCTAGTACACGAAGAAGTAAGTTGCCCTTCTGAGATCGATATCTCTCTCCTCTCTCTCTCTCTCTCTCTCTCTCTCTCTCTCTCTCTCTCTCTCATGCTTCCCCATTCTACTCTCTCTTCTAATAAACTTTGCTGTACTTTCACTGTCTCATATCTTGCTTGAAGTCCTCTTATGCAAGATCACAAAAGCAGAGATCACAATGCAATCTCTGTTAAAAACTTTTCCCAGGTATCATGTTATCTCTGCTATTGGTACCAGCTGTATTTCCTAAACCATTCACCACCCAGTAACATTTTATTCAGTATCTACTATTCACCATAATCCATTCATTGTCTGCTGGGATAGGAATGGAAAATCCTGAATAAGTCTTTAATTCTTAGTTCAATGCTGGTGATCCTGTAACCTTGTAGAACATTCAAAAAGAGTTTCACCAGGTGCAGTAGCACATGCCTGTAATCCTAATGGCTCAGCAAGCTGAGACAGGAGGATCACGAGTTCAAAGTCACCCTCAGCAAAAGTGAAGCACTAAGCAACTCAATGAGACCCTATCTCTAAATAAAATAAGAATATGGTTGGAGATGAGTTCAATCCCCAGTTACTCCATGCCACAGTCCGGCTGC